AGATCAGCCGTTTGATGTCAAAAAAAAAAAAAAAAAAAAAAGAAAGAAAGTCAACGATTCATAACAAGAACCCAAAAACCTAAATTCATAAAAAGGAAAGAAAGTCAACGAGCTCATGAAATCACAAGGATTCTCACACAGTCTCGGATTATTAAACCGGTTCTGGTTCAAAAATAACAAACTTCCAATCGAAAACAACATCATCGTCTCTCAGCCGATCAAACTAGACCCTAATGTCAAAGAAATGAAACTACTCAATATAACATTTCAAAAAAATAAAATAAAATGAAACTACTCGCCGTACTGCATCTCAACCAATACGGTTAACTGCGGTTCAAGAGTTTCAAAGACTCGTTCTACAAGGATGGCGGGTAAAATAGGGAGGCTTCCGGTTTAGACCAAAACAAACCGCCACAGGAGAATCTATCAGCGCCTTGGTCTTTGGTCAAAATTCAATTTTCATTCCCTCTTTGGTCAATTCAATTCCTTCTTATTTTTAAAGCTTTTCTGCTTATAAACAAAACCCTATATATACACACCTAGCATCATATCTCTACCATCATCATCTTCTCCATTACAAAATTTCAGAGAGATACTAAGAAACGTAACCAAACCAATCAAGAACCGGTTTCAACTGAGTGAAAGAACAAAACATTCTTGCATTCATCAATGGCTTCATTGCAGGTTTCAAGATTAGTCCTTTCCTCATCTTCTTCTATCTCAAAACCTAAAGCTGCAGTCTCCATCCCCAAGTTACCTAAATTCAACGTCTCGGTTCCAAAAATACCTATAAAGAAACAGACTTTATGGGTTAAAGAACAGAGCCTTGAGCTAAATGGGTTCATAGAAAGTCCTCCTCTTCCGTTGAAAAAGAGGAGAGACTCTGATCCAATCCAAAGGGCACGCCTCGTCGCGGTTCTTGAAGAAGTCATGGACAGGATTGAGATGCACAAGAACATCGGAGACCAGCGCAACAACTGGAACTCTCTATTGCTCAGTTCCGTCAACATGATCACTCTCACCGCCGCTTTGATGGCCGGAATAGCTTCCGTTAACGTTCACAGCGGAGATTCTATAACTGCCGTGAAGATAGCTTCCACGGTGTTGTTAACTTCTGCCACAAGTATAGCTGCCTTGATGAGCAAGATTCAACCCTCACAGCTCGCTGAAGAACAGAGGAACGCGACGAGGTTGTTCAAGAAGCTGAGAATCGAACTCGAAATGTTTCTGAGAGAAAACGAGGAGATCAACGAAGAAGATGTTAAGGAAGCGATACAGAGAGTGTTGTCTCTAGATAAAGCTTACCCTCTTCCTCTAATCGGAACAATGCTCGAGAAGTTTCCCGAAGAGTTTAAACCGGCGACATGGTGGCCTGAAAACAAACAGAGAAACCCTAAAACCGGTTTAGGTAAAGGGTGGAGTCAAGAGCTTGAGATGGAGATGAGAGAAGTGGCTCATGTGGTTAAGAGCAGGGACGCAGAAGAGTATGAGAAATTAGGTAACGTGGCATTGAAGCTAAACCGGTTTTTAGCTATTTCTGGACCAGTTTTAACCGGAATTTCAGCAGTAAGCTCTGTTTTTATCGGTCAAGATTCCGGTTTAGCTGGAATTGTGGCGATGACTTGTGCTTCTTTGGCTGCGATTGTCAACACTTTAGAGCATGGTGGTCAGGTGGGGATGGTGTTTGAGATGTACAGAAACTCAGGCGGGTTCTTTTCTCTTTTAGAAGAAACGATGAAATCGACGGAGAAGAAAGAGAATGGACAAGTGTTTGAGACAAAAGTTGCGTTGAAGCTAGGGAGAAGCTTGTCTGAACTGAGAGATCTTGCGAAAAGATCGAATCTCTCTCAGGTTAAGGATAATGAATTCGCAAGCAAACTTTTCTAGTTTGATAAATAGATAACTTCATTTAATTTGTATAGATGAATTCATTCATTCTTTGATTTATTTGTATAAAAACATTACTCTGCTTCTTAAAAGAGATAACCTATTAGTAGAAACTATTTTCTTTTGAAAAATTCATTTGAATAACCTTTTTGCTTGTAAACTAATAAGAGAATAGAGGAATTGGTGTTACTCTTAACATATGATCTCTTATACATGGAATTACATTCTTATACCGGGAATTATATGGGAGATAAATGGAAAGTACAAAGTCAATATAAATATGAAAAATGCTAAGTCTAAACCGTCATATAGACTACACGGATTGAGCCTAGATAATATGGTTATGGCCCATTCACTAATTAATTCATAACACTCCCTCTTGGATGTCATAACCATATAGAGCATGTAATACGTTTTAGATGTTGCCTCATTAAAATTTTCCACGAAAAACCCAAAAACCCAATGGGACAAAATCCGGGTAAAACCATGGATAAGAAAAAATAGTACAATACGTATTACTCCCCCTGATTTGAGCATCACTGAAAGTCTTTCAATCTTGAGTTTTTCAGCTTGAATGAATTTGAACTACTTGTATTTTGTCTCTCTAACTCGTGGGCCATGAATACTTGGACGGGATATGACCACCTTACTTGGATGGACCTCGACCACAAGCGCTTACGGATTATCTCATAGTCCATGCGGATGTGACTGATCATCCTACCGACCATCACACACTCTCAACCAAACACACACACACGATGATGTTGCTGTGAATGCGTGTACCACCATGTATAAAATATAACCTGTCCGTAAACAAATCAACAATAAAACCAAATACACCCCTCTTTGGGCTGGTTAGTATAAAATACATAAGGAAATAAAATTTCTTTTATAAGGATACATGGACTTATTTGAATTGTTCTTATAACTTTCTTTCACTAAGTATCTATCATACTATATGCAGCTGCTTTGTTTCAGTGTACAAACAGTTCAGATTTATACAATGTTGTTTCTTGAGAATTTCTTTTCTCATCTTTGAGCTCAGTACCTTCTGGCTTTATCATTATTATCTAAACAACCATATACAGCTTACTACATCCGTTATATGTTAATCTAATATCTTTCTTATGACCAGACCTTATCAATTCGAAATATGTAGTAGCATCCACCAAATAAGAGTATATCTCCTCATAGTCTATTCCTGGTCTCTGTGAGAATGTTTGTGTAACAAGTCATGCTTGAATGCTGTAAGTAGAAACATGAAAAACTTTAGACCACGTGATCATGTTCTACATCTCATGATTTTATTTCCCTCACAAGACCCATTCACATCCACTGGTTTATATCATATGCGTCTCTCTATATATATGGCCAATACGCCTCTCTTTCTCTAGATACTCTAACCCCACGTTTCCAGTTAATTTGATCTTATGAGTACCCTATTACTGGCTGAGACTAATAATGAGTTGGTCATAATGAACAGTGAGATGAGACCTTCTGCCTCAACCCCATTACCTGAAGCCAATAAGGCTATAGAAGAAAATAAAGATTCTAAAGAAAGTAACCACGTCCAGAGTGATAAACCACACGGTCATAGCCGTGGTGGATGGAGAGGACGTGGTGGTATCTCTAAACCACCACACTCGTCCAAATCAGTGTACCACAGGTGTGGAATGGACAACCATTGGGCTAAGAATTGTAGGACTCCCAGACATCTTTGTGACCTCTACCAAGAGAGCCAGAAAGGGAAAAATCCAGAAGCCCATTTGGTCAACCATGATGGGGAAAACGACTTTGATCATGAGAATGATGACCTTATGGATTATGAGACTTTAGATTGCCTAAGAAAATGAATTTCGACATTCTGTTTTTTTTTTATGTTTTTGTTTGATTTGGTCTTTGGTTTAATAGGTTTTTGGTTTAGTTAAGGTTTTTTGGTTAGTTTAGGTTTTTGGTTAGTTTGTAAACCAAAATTTATATGTAAACCTATATTAATTTATAAATAAAAATTTATTTTATTTTAATTATATAAATTTTGATTTATTTTTAAAAATTATAAAGTTAAATATTTTCAAAACATTATATCAAACCATATCTATTTCGAACTTTTAACCCTAAACCACATATTTTGATCTATACCTTAAAACATTAAATTTCAAGCTTTATACAAAATTTAATTAATCATATACCATAAATTCTAATTACAAATTTTAAAAATTTAATATTATTGTTATTTAAACTGTCTAGAATGCCGCATGGATAGGGCTCCACCACAATCTTCTGGGCTGAACAAATAGGCTTTACCGTTGTAAAAAATCGACAACTAGAAAGAAGTAAGCGCATGGAAGATGAAGGAAGAGCCCTCTCGTGACGCCGGACACTACCAGGCGCCGGAGAGGCAAATAAAAATTTCTAGAGTTCCCAAATTTACTATATCTGAAGCAAATCAAAAGTCCCTCACAAGAAGAAGAAAGAGGGCGCACGTCTTGGACTTTCTCTCGCTTATGACCTAAAAAGGTGGCTTTATCTTTTTGCCGGGAACTCAAACATTGTAAATAATCTCTTTTAGGGTGAATTAATAATGGTAGTTACAGCTGAAACTCTTTTACCAGTGGGCCAATTCGACGTTGGTAGATAAACTTAAGACGTCAGGTCAACCCTCTTATAGAAACTTCAGTGAGAACTTGAGCAATAAGTTAAGCCGTTAATGTTTTAGGACGCGGGTGACGAGCTTATATCATTAAGATCATTCCAATGCGAATCAGTGGAATCTAATATAAACCAATTTGTCTTAATATTATCATCCGATAAACTAGGGGTGGGCAAAAAACCCAAACCGACCCAACCGAATTTAAACCGATCAAAACCGAACCAATGTATATGTCTAAACTATTTGGTTCAAGATTTTATCAACCCGAATGGTTCGGTTTGGTTTTGTTTTAAACCGAACCAAACTGAAAACCCGAAATGTTTTTTAATTAGATTAAGTAAATATAGTAATAATATTATACTTAATAGATTTAACCATTTAACCTAAATAACTAAGAATTTTATTAATTTTACTTCTAAATGAATAGAATGAACACAACTAAAAATATGAATCTATACATTAATATTAAAACCGTATAATTTAATAATTTTATATTAAGTTTAAAGATAATAATATAAAATTATTTGATTACATCTTCTACGTATAAATTGTGATATTTGGTTTACGTTTAAATATGGAGAAAAAATGATTTAGTGTTAAATGATGATTTGTTAATGTTTTTATAAATTATATTTTTGTAATTGAACTAGAACAAAACTAAAAATCAACTCGATTGAATTGAAAAATAAAAACAAAACCATACTAAACCGAATAAAACAGAAACCAAACCGAACTAAATCGAACCGAACACAAACCAAACCAAACTAAAAACGAACCAAATCGAATATAAACCAGACTAAACTAATATATGTTGACTTTGGGTAAAATTTTCTTAGACCCAAACAACCGAAACCAAACCGGACCCAAACCGAACCCGTAATAAAACCAAAATTCCCACCCCTACGATAAACTGAACCGCATAAAAATTTAATCCAATTTACAGTACATTATTTTCAATTAAAAAAACACAAGATAAATTTAATTTAACAATTTATTAATAATTATTTACACCAAATCCTACCCAACAGAAAAAATATGTGAAAACACTGAATTCTTATATTATCGCCACTTAAAATGCTTAAATTATGTCAAAAAATTCTTTGTCAAAAAAGAATTATGTCACAAATATTTTCATATATTAAGTTTACATCGATTATATTATCGTACAAATATATGCCTAAACTTTTCAAAACTAATATATTATACTTTTTTATCTATTTTTTGGTGAAACCATACATCATCCACCACATCAACTGAAGTAATATTGTTTTAAACATAAAAATATTTTAGAAAAATACAAAAATTAAAACTAACTAATGAGATTTACTCTTATTTTTATGTGTTATTTTGTGAGAATAACCTTTAGTTCTATTAATGTCATTTGCTCTTATTTTAAAATAATTGCTTGTTTTAACAATCTATTATACAATATGTTTCATTTAGTGAAATTTCATGTTATATGCTGTTTATGGAAAAAATATAGAGTATAGGATCTATGTTTTTACAAATTAGAATTTAAAATTTATCCTTTATGAATTAGGATTAATTTAGAGTATATATAGTTTATGACATCAAATAGAGTACAATAGAAATTCTATAAATTAATAAAAACTATAAATCAATAAATGAATTTTACAAAATTGACTCAAAACTTAAAGTTAAACAAAATTAACCCATTACTGTTTTGGAACTTTGACTTGCCCAATTCACCCCTGAATTTCTGATTATTCACAAAAATACCATTTCTTTTTTTTCGTGAAAATTGGTTTTTCACTATCATCCTCATCTTCATCAATTATTCACGAAATTTCAATTTTCATCAATTCAGCCAACAACCATGAACAAAGAATATGAAGCTCTTAATGCATCAAAAAATCAACTTTGACTCATTATATCTCATATCTTATGTACAAAAACTACATCTCTCTCAATTTATCTCTATATTCATTAAAAAAAGCCTAAGCTTTTTGATTCTAGAGTTTTTAAGGTTCATATAGCCATTAAAGCTAATGATTCCTGGTCATTAACGATTGAGTAGCTGGCGTGGCAAAGTTCTGTGTGCTTGGAAGAACTAAGAAAGTTTTCTCAGTGGTTGAAGGTATGAATAATTTTTTCCCCAGATTTGTTCGCGTGAAGACTTCCACGGAAGTCTTCTAATCAAAACATAGGTTAGTTTTGCAATTGAGTTTCTTTGTATTTTTTAGAGAAGACTTTCATGGAAGTCTTCCAACTTTTCTTTGTGGACAAAAAAAATCGAAACAGGTTAGTTTTGCAATTGACTGAACTGTGTCAAAAATTTGAATTTCTATAGAAGACTTCCCAGTAAGTATTTCGCTGGAAGATTTTCATG